ACTATGCCGGAAATTTGAGTTTTTCCGGCCTGGAAAGCATGTTAGTGAGGCGCAAGAACTTGTCAATCATGTCTTGAGGGCCAGCATAGTGGCAGGAGTGTGTGGTCAACATTTCACTCAAATCCATTGAGAAACACCAAAGTTACGGTCAATTGAATGCCATATGAAATTTATGGGTAGGCTGCCCCCTTAAGTTCTTTTGTAGTGATTTCGAATTATTGTTACGATTCCGCATATCTTTTGAATGTGTTTCGCCATAATCATATTTGATGTGTCTTTCTTACTATTCCCGATCATTATTGTGAGCATTTGTATGCATCTTTTTAGGGAATTACAAAAGCATTATGCAAAGCATTAATAATGAAAAGCCGAACATTACCCGCTGACCCCTAGGCCCCGCTGTGCAGCATCTGATGAATCTGTGGTATTCGGTAAAAAAATGCCAACCATACTGGTTTTACCGGTATACTACCGGAAAACTAGGGCACTATCGGCATACGGGGATTTCTGACTGATCGAAAAACTGCCGGAATTTCACACTGAATCATGGGTGTTTAAAAGAAAACAAATTTGTTTTGTGGTGTGACAAGGGTACATGCAGCCCTGCATTTCACAGAATCACACATGTAAGGACGATCTGACAATGGAGAAACTCAGGTTTTGGTCCCCCAATGAGCAATGGGTTATAAATGAACTTTTCTAATTGTCCGCACACTCCAACGCAGCCATTTACACATTTAGGAAACTGCACTACTCAACTGCAAAAAACGGTCTCTTCGCTGCGATTAAAATTAAAATTAAGAATAACATTTAACTCGGATGGAGAGCCAGAGATTAAAATTAAAAAAGGTATTCTGCTTATAACCGTTAGTGTTGGACAAAACAGATAACTTGGAAACTGGATAAACATTACACCAAATTTTCAGTGTAATGGTAATCTTAAACGAGAGAGCTTGGAAGCTCAGGGCCCTACGCTATGCTTTTTTGCCTTGATGACCTAGACAAAAAAAGCATAGGGATGTTATAAATTCTTTAAAAAAATCTTTTTTTTAAGACATAACCTGGGATTCGAACCCGCACTATTGCGCGCCCTGCATGCATCCCCCGATACACTTCGCATACACACTAATTCTTCCAAGTTGTTTCACATTGTGATCTTGCATTTGAAAGCCCTATTTGAATATGCATTGTGACCAGCCGTCTTTGATGGCACGGTACGGTAGAGGATAGGTGCGGGACAGGTACGATCGAGGGTAATACGACACCGTCTCCCGTACCGTACCGTACCATCAAACACAGCTGGCCACATACAGCTGCCCGCAATATTCAAATAGGGCTTTCAAACGCAAGATAATAACGTGAAGCAACTTGGAAGAATGGGTATGAGTGCGAAGTGTGTGGGGGAATGCATGTAGGGCGATAGTGCGGGCTCGAATCCCAGGATATGCCTTAAAAAAAAGAGAATTGAAAAATTTATAACATCCTATGCTTTTTTGCCGTCAGATACGGATAGCGCCAGGCGTGACACAAACAAACAAACAAACACACAAATTAACAAATACCAAATTAAAGCTGTGTGGACCTTGGCTAGCGCCAGACGTTACTGAAGTAACGTCTTCTGCATAGCTACGGGAATAAAAGGGGGTTTGTCAACTGACAATCGCTCTATTTAGTTGCTATTGACTTTTTAGATGAAACTTATTTTATCGTGGTTCTGACGATGGGTGAGTGGCCCGAAACGTCAATAATTTTTCGAAATCATTAATTATAAAAGAATTTTCATCTAAAGAATGAATAGTAACTAAAAAAAATAAGCGGTGGCCAGTTGACCACCTTATGTTTACAATTCAGTTGCGTGATGTCCACCACTTTCTGAACAAATGTTAATTTTAATTTTAGTTTTAATCGTAGTGAAGAGACCTTTTTTTGGAGTTGAGAAGTGAAGTTTCCGAAATGGGTTAAGCGGGATTCACAGAAGCTTTTTTGCGATGCGACACGCGATGCGACAGCCGCGAAACCAGGAAATCCGTAAATCGCAACCATCGCGGACCCCACGCAACTGCCGCAACAGGGCCATCGCAGAAGTTGAGCTTGGCTCAACTTTTGCGATGCGATGCGATACTACAAGCGATTTGGCGTACGATTTTGACCTTTTCTACAGCAAAGTTGTACAAAGGTTCAAGAGCTGCCTTTAAATTTGTACAAGTTGTATCAAACCGGGCGAATATCATGGTGACGTAGCCAAATCAGCAAGATGTTGTCGCATCACTGACTTCTTCTGTGAATGGTATTTCGCGAGTTCGCATCGCACGCATCCATCGCAGATCGCGTCGCATCGCAAAAAGCTTCTGTGAATCCCGCTTTAGAAATGAATAAAAATAAAGAAAAATCGCCAAACATTTGCGCAACAATTACGCCAAAATACTGTATAGCAGGAAATTTTCGGACGGAATTTATTTTCGTACGATTTCGCACACGGCCTCTTTTGTAATAAAATTAATTCCGTACTAAAATTTGTTCCTGTGAAGTTATGTGCACTATACATGCGTACCGCATGCGAACACGTGCATTTAGCATGTAGCACTGTACGAAAATAATTATAATCCGTACGAAAGGTCGAAATTCAGATTGTCCGAAAATATTTCCGTCCGAAAATTTCCTACTACTGCTATACAGTACTCCAGAATTGCCCAAAAAAAGAGAAAATGGCCGAAATTGGCGAAAACCAGCAAAATAACGGAAATCAGAGAAAATCAAGGGAAACTGGGCGTGTGACTACGGAATTTGCTTTGACTGGATTGGCAAGTATGTACATGTACAGTAAATTTCGCTTACAACGACAATTCTCGAATAGCGACAGAATTTCCCTGCCCAGAGCACAGTCTCATCTAACTGTATACATTTAACTTCGGATACAACGATTATCCGAGTAACGACATTCCGCGAATAGCGACATGCTTTTAGTGCCCCAGGGTCATATTCACTGCTTGAATAACGACTTTCTGGGTTTTTGACAGCCATTTCAAGTACATGTACATGACATTGTACCTGTCATACAGAAGTACCAGAACCCATGGCAATGGATAGAAATGCACACGTGCAAGAAGATGCAGCCAAGGGGGGGGGGGTACATTTTATTTTGCTTATATCATTTTGCTTCTAAATACAGTAGTTGGAGTGATCAGCCCAACTACATGTATTTGTACATGATTGTACAATAATCATCATACATGTGTACATGTCCCTGTTGATGGCTCCAAAAGTTTAATTTTTCAATCTATTTCCCTCCATATTGACTTTATAGCTCCTTTGAATTGTATTATGGAAATAAAGTACACATTGGCATGGAGCATGAAAAGAGCTTCATATTGACATGCATATCCATACTACAGTCAACTTTGCAAATAACGACACTCGGCGGTCATCAGAAAAGTGTCTTTATAACCGAAGTCCCATTTAAATGTATGTGAACCCATATTTTGTATAGTATGTATGACATGCATATCAAAAATGAAGCTCTTTTTCAGTATCATTACAGCACCATTGCAGCATTATCACTTTGCAAAACATGCACTAGGAACAAGGGAGTCTGTGCATGGTGTTTTTCAATGCTTGTGCATCCCGGCATTTCAATGCGGGGAGCACCGGTTGAATCGGTGCAGCAATTGTGAGCTGGCCATGAACACAAGTGCAGCACCGCTGGAAGTAATTCATGCTTGATATGGCCATACATAGCCTTTCAGGCTTCATGTGTTATAATTTTGACATTGGGTGATAATTATGTGTTATAATTATGTTGGCTAAACAAGAATTCCTCAGCAGTAAACATGAATTTTGTCGGTAAAACGCAAACAAAATTACTACTAGTATCACCAAAAGGACTTGAACCAGGAACCCTCGCTTATGGCCAGGGATGCTGTACCACTAAGCTAGTAGTTGCCATCCAGGCAGCGGCCACTCAACACTCTCTTTAGACTAGTACTTCCTGTTAATGGACACATGCTGGTAGGACACAGCCCACGCTATAGCCCAAACACCTCAAGTACAAACTAGCTAGTCTTCATTGAAGACTTCAAATTTATTCCAAATTTCCTATACGATATTTTGTAAATGGACGCTTCAAGTATCTTGTCCAACCACTCCGGGTCTGACACACAATCAGTAACACAATTTTTTTTCTCCTACTGGTCTCTCTCTCTCCCTTCTCTCTCTCTCTCTCTCTCTCTCTCTCTCTCTCTCTCTCTCTCTCTCTCTCTCTCTCTCTCTCTCTCTCTTTCGCGCTCTCTCTCTCTCTCACACTCTCTCTCCTCTCTCTCTCTCTCTCTCTCTCTCTCTCTCTCTCTCTCTCTCTCTCTCTCTCTCTCTCTCTCTCTCTCTCTCTCTCTCTCTCTCGCGTGCTCTCTCTCTCTGTCTCTCTCTCTGTCTCTCTCTCTCTCTGTCTCTCTCTCTCTCTCTCTCTCTCTCTCTCTCTCTCTCTCTCTCTCTCTCTCTCTCTCTCTCTCTCTCTCTCGCGTGCTCTCTCTCTCTCTCTCGCGTGCTCTCTCTCTCTCTGTCTCTCTCTCTGTCTCTGTCTCTCTCTCTCTCTCTGTCTCTCTGTCTCTCTCTCTTTTTTTTCTTCCTACTGGTCTCTCTCTCTCCCTTCTCTCTCTCTCTCTCTCTCTCTCTCTCTCTCTCTCTCTCTCTCTCTCTCTCTCTCTCTCTTTCGCGCTCTCTCTCTCTCTCTCTCACACTCTCTCTCCTCTCTCTCTCTCTCTCTCTCTCTCTCTCTCTCTCTCTCTCACTCTCTCTCTCTCTCTCTCTCTCTCTCTCTCTCTCTCTCTCTCTCTCTCTCTCTCTCTCTCCTCTCTCTCTCTCTCTCTCTCTCTCTCTCTCTCTCTCTCTCTCTCTCTCTCTCTCTCTCTCTCTCTCTCTCTCTCTCTCGCTCTCTCTCTCTCTCTCTCTCTCTCTCTCTCTCTCTCTCTCTCTCTCTCTCTCTCTCTCTCTCTCTCTCTCTTCTCTAGGACATACAAAACCCAGCATCATGGCTGAGAAACCATCCAAGCTTGAAGGTAAGTTCATATCACAACTTCATGCAGGCTTTCTCTTTCTGTTGCCACCACCATCAAGTCTAACTTGGCTGCATCCACCAGCATTACTTCCAAACCTACCACCACTATATCTAACAACAAATCTACAACCACCAACATACAACCTTACTTTCATGGGTGAACCCGTACTTTTTACGCAAATTTAGGCCAAATTGCAAACATTCGCTGTATGTACTACTGCTTCGATTACAAACTTCTCGGTACAAAAACTGATACAAGAAAATGTTGGTTAGCTTGATAGTGCACCCTTTAACAGTTGGGCGAGGTAGGGGCAAGCTTGCTCGAATCCTCTCATAGTTTTGATATCGATGTTGTTGATGCCAACTACAGAACGAATGTCAATGATTCCTAGCCCTTTTTTGGTTTTTAACTAGTGTATTTGTTGTGCGGACAACACCACCTCTTGGATGTGGCATGTACAATCTCAAAACATGTGTTGTACAGTGTGCATTATGAAGACACTGGGTAGTTAACTTCATGAAGAATCATACTAAGAGAGCTCTACCGGCTACATCATTGTATTGCAAAAACGTTTCCATCAGTTCGAATAACATTCATGATGAACTAGGCAAAAAAGCAGAGCATAGGGACCTGAGCTATCAAATTCTCTGGTTCATTGCTATTTTAGCCCCATCCTTCGCACAAACAAGTCACCAAAGAGGCATCTTTGGGTTGAGGAGTGCTGGTTTCGAAACAACTGGTTTGAAGCTCAAAGTAGAGTTGCTGTTAGCTCAGAGAAGAGTTGCTGTTAGCTCAGAGCAGAGCTGCTGTTAGCTCAGAGCAGAGCTGCTGTTAGCTCAGAGTAGAGCTGCTGTTAGCTCAAAGTAGAGCTGCTGTTAGCTCAAATAGAGCTGCTGTTAGCTCAAATAGAGCTGCTGTTAGCTCAAAGTAGAGCTGCTGTTGGCTCAAAGTAGAGCTGCGGTTAGCTCAAAGCAGAGCTGCAATGCTAAATGGATGTAATATGGCGCAAGGCAGAGCCGCAGCAAATAGCTACAGTCAACTTCGCTAATAACGACTGCGGATATAACGACAATTCGCGAATAACGACAGAATTTCAATGCTCAGAGCAAAGTCCCATCCCACTGTAACACATATAATGAGACTTCGGGTATAACGACACTTCGCGAATGAGGACACTTTTCTGATGTCCCGCCGAGTGTCGTTATAAGCGAAGTAGACTGTAGATAACACCAGGTCTGAGATTGGACCTGATTTGTGGAACGAAACATTGCTGAAGCACGATCCGCTGAATCGAAGAGCACAACAGGGCAAGCAAGATTTGTTTTTCTTTTCTTTTCAGCGAAACTAGGCTGGGTGCCATTTGTGATTACGCAGCAAAACAAAGCGCATGACGTCAGTCGTGAATGCAGTACAAAGCGATGCAGTGCAGTGTGTGCGCTAGTTCGGATTTTTGCTAACGAGTACTAGCACAGCTAGTACCCCATTACGACTGCTGCCTCCTCGTCGGGTATAAGCTGTCGAAGTGCCTATCTCACGCTGCCTGAAAACTCGTAGTAACACGTAGTTACAAGGCCAAGTGGTGACAAACAAAAGTCGCGTCACTTGTCGTCTTTCCAACGGTCACGGAATCACTTTGACTGGGCCGCACTGGTGTACGATCGCGAGTCCAAACTTGGTTTTACTCCTACGCTCTCAATCTATCGTGCAGTGTTTTCCTGCTGAGTGTTGACTAGCCCCTGAGAGATAGGAGTTCTGATTTTTGCTTGCTGCTGGATAAGGAAACGAGCCCAGACTTGGTTAGTGTCAGAACTACAGAAATCAGCGATCGCTGCGATACAAATAACAGAGACACCCATCATTGCTTCTTGGCCGGCGACTACATGTAAAGCCGGACGACAGTGCAGGCACAGCAGTGGCCAAGCCGAAAAATCAGCTACCGCTACTCCCTCTCTACAAAGCGAAAACTACAATCTGGGCGACAAGTAGTAGTTTATTTGAAATAAATAGTCTTGCTCGCGAGTTCCTCAGTCAAAAATGATGCTGTAGCTGTGTTCACTGCACGCTACTGCTCGATCTACAACTCACCATTGCCGTGTCGGTTCATCTCATTCTTTGGATATGAATGTTGTTGATGCCAACTGCAGCCAGTGAGTCAATATTCCCTTAGCTATTTCTTGTTAATAACCAGTACATTTTTCATACGGACCACATCGCCTGTGGCCCACTGTTTTTGGTGGTACGGTACGGGATAGCGCCAGGCATGCCAACGGCACAAACACACAAACCCAAACGCTAATTAAAGCTGTGTTGACCCTGGCTAGCGCCAGAGGTTACTGAAGTAACGTCTTTTGCATAGCTACAGGACCGAGTATATTTGTCATCCAGACCGCGCCGCGTCTTGGATGTGTTGAACGCCATTGTTGGACATTCTGGCACAACGCAAGGCAACAACTGCATTATGACTAGAGAGAGCTCGACTCAAGAGAGCGACGCAACGCAACGCAACAACTACATTATGACTAGAGAGAGCTCGACTCAAGAGAGCGATTATTTGAAGAGAGTTGAGAGAGAGATTTGAAGAGAGGCAACGCAATATATAGGGCCTGGGTAGCTATGGCAAACATGGGTGCGCAAATAGCTACCCAGGCCAACGGAACGAAAGGTGAGAATGACGTAGTACGGGTGCATGCAGGCCAGCTAGGGTAAAAGGGTATACTGTACGGGCGGAGGTACCTAAAATACCTCCCCTGCGTAAAAAAAAGAGTCGCGGCCTCGCGGAAAATATCAAGAAATATAGAAAAAATGACTGAGGAAGTAGAGAGAAAAAAGCACACACACATTGCACGCGCGCACGGATCTCACAAACGTGTTTAAGTAGCGTAGTTGCACTTCTGCTAAACATCAAAAATTAGAGCGTGGCTCACCATGATCGGACCTCTAATTTGGTAAAATTTTATGAACACACGCCCGCACACACACACTACAAAGAAAATTCACGAAATAAATAAACCGGAAATAAATTTGACGAAGTAAGACGCACGAAAGAAAGAGAGAGAGAGGAAGAAATAATGAGAAATAGCTGACCTGCACGTCTTGCACGAGACGAAGTAGACATAGGCGAGATGAGGTTGACAGAGACGAGACAAGGTTGGCGTAGGGGAGACGAGGTTGACATGGACGAGACGAGGTTGGCGACTAGACGAGATTGACGTGACGAGACGAATGCCAGGCGGTAGAGCACGAGAATCCTAGATTCGCGGGCTTCGGCAAAACCCGGGCGCCAATGTTGAACGCCATTGTTGGACATTCTGACACAACGCAAGGCAACAACTACATTATGACTAGAGAGAGCTCGACTCAAGAGAGCGATTACTTGAAGACAGTTGAGAGAGAGATTTGAAGAGAGGCAACGCAAAATATAGGGCCTGGGTAGCTATGGCAAACATGGGTGCGCAAGTAGCTACCCAGGCCAACGGAACGAAAGGTGAGAATGACGTAGTATGGGTGCATGCAGGCCAGCTAGGGGAAAAGGGTATACTGTACGGGCGGAGGTACCTAACAGATGTATACTCACTATATCCGTGTCGGTTCATTTCCTTGTTTGGATATGGATGTTGTTGTTGTCAACTGCAGACCGCAAATCAAGAATCCCTTAGCCACTTCTTGTTAATATCCAGTATATTTTTTCATGCAGACCACTCTGCCTCTTTGTTGTCATGTGTACACCCTCTAAGCATGTTGTGTACAGTGTGCATAGTGTAAGCACTGGATACTTCACTTTACAAAGAGTCATAGAGAACAGTTCAGTATGGATGTTTAGCGATTTAGAAGTACACAGTAGCTGGAATTGCTTTTTCTTTCCTCAATACCCTTCCAATGAATACTGATTGTCCATGTATCCATTGTGTGTGACTGCTTTCCATTTTTGCTTTTCCTCGGAATGATTGACTCAATCTACACCTCACCAATGCCCTCTTGGTTCATCTCATTGCTTGGATATGGATGTTGTTGATGACAACTACAGAATGTAAGTCAATGTTTCCTAGCCCTCTACTTGTTTATAACTAGTGTATTTTGTCATGTAGACCACGCCGGCTCTCAAATGTGACGTCAATAATCTCAAGGCATGAGTTGCACAGTGCGCATATTGAACACACTGCATAGTTCACTTTACATGTACAAGGAGTCATAGGGAATGTGTTTAACCAGTTTGGATGTGAAGTAAGTTTGAATGAGCTGCAATGATTTACTGTTTGTTCCTTTGTCCTTTGTTTGTGGCTATTTTCCATTTTTGCTTGCCCGGAATGATTTAATTAATCTTCACTTCACCATTGCTGTGTCGGCTCATCTCTTTGTTTGGATTGTTAGCATATGGATGTTGGTGATGCTAACCGCACCATGGAAATAAATAATTGCTAGCCCTCTCCTTGTTGAAAACGAGTATATTTTGTCATGCAGACCACATCACCTCTGGGTTGTGATGTGTACTCCCTCCAAACAATAGCTACACAGCCTGTACAGCACACACATTGAATGGTTCACTTTGCGAAAGAGTCACAGAGAACGTTTTAAATCTGGAAACATGTTGAGTAGGGTTAGAAGTAGCAGTTATTAGACAGGTTTGCAGAGCGAAAGTTCGCATGAACTATCGCGTCTGGGCTTGCGAATATTTTTGTGAATGTTCGAGCGAAGTTTGTGTTCTGCATAATATTCGCTCCAAGAAAACAAAGTATGCGTGCCCTCTCGTGATTGAACTTGTTTGAGAAGTCGTCTTCGGGGCTTCAACCGCCTAAGAATCTATTTGCTGCTAGTGGCGTTACCCTGACTCGGCCTGGGACTAGAGCTCTTTCCCTATGTTGACCACGGCCGGAGATCGACAGACACGCAGTGTGGCCTGTGCCATATTCCGGCGCATCATCAACTTCAAATATTCAAAAAAGCATCACTACTGTAGCCGCTTCTGAGACGATGAGCACGCAGGCAATCAGAGATCGTTCCGGAGATAAAGCAGCATGGGCTGCCACACGGGAAAACTATAACCAGAGAACCAAGCCATGAGTAGATGTACAGGATTGTGAAAGATGAAGCACAAAACATTGCACCCGAGTGATTCACCAATACAACGCACTGGTTCCCGACCAGCGAAAATTCCTGCGAAAGTTTGTTTCACGTTTCCTTCAACTTTCGCGCTCAAAGCTGTGAACGTTCGTACGAAGTTTCGCTTTTCGTGACATCAACTGAAAGTTGCGCGAACGTTTGCTCTGCGAAACCTCTTTATTGCTATTGTCTTATCTAATACACTTCCAATGCTTACTGACGTTCCATTTATCCATTGTGTGTGCCTGGTTTCTCATTTTTCTTTCCTCGGAATGATTCATTCGATGTTCACCTCACCATTGCCGTGTCGGTTCATCTCCTTGTTTGGACACGGGTTTTGGTGATACCAACTACAGGGCGTAAGTCAATATTCCCCAGTCTTCTCCTTGTTTAACACAAAAGAGCTTGGAAGCTCAGGACCCTACACTATGCTTTTTTGCCTAGCTCATTATGCATGTTATTAGAACTGATGGAAATGTTTTTCCATTCATTGGCTGTAGTGTTTTACGTCGACCATGACGGCTACAATGTCCAACCATAAAACAACGAACTGATCTGCTAAATTATTGTATTGCAAAAAGTTTCCATCTGTTCGAATAACATGCATGATGAGCTAGGCCAAAAAGCATAGCGTAGGGCCCTGAGCGAACAAATTAAACTCTCTCTTTGCCACCGAGGGTAATACGACACCGTCTACCACATTGATGACCTAGGCAAATAAAGCATAGAGATGTTATACATTTTTCATTTCCTCCTATTTTGTTAGACATAACCTCGAATTCGAACGCACACTATCGCCCTGCAATCAATAGGCCCGCGTGCATTCTCCGATACACTTCGCAAACATACTCATTCTTCCAACTTGCTTCACGTTATAATCTTGCATTTGAAAGCCCCTTTTGAATATTGTGGCCAGCTAGCTGTCTTTGATGGTACGGTACGGGACAGGTACGGGATAGCGCCAGGCATGCCTATGGCTGTGTTTACATGAGGCGTTTCAACCCGGGTCAGATTTCAACCCGCCATGTACACAAAATGAATGGCGCGTTTACATGACGCATTGCGCTTGGCCTGGGTTGAATTTCGCCCCGGGTTGATTTCAACCCTCTTGGGGGAGGGTTGAAATCAACCCGGGTCAAGAAAATCGTACTAACGTACTTCTGTGCGTATTTCGAGCCAGGTTAGAACAGCACGGCATATGCAAATTTCAAGCGAACAGATTCACGTGATCATACAGGAATCTAGAAGTTTTTTTTTTTAAAGAGCCAAGCCTCTTGTACGGGCAAAATAAACACAATTACGAGTACAACCTCAACAGCACCGGAAGAAAACGAGCAAAATGGCTGTGAAAACAGTCGTGAGAGCAAAAATGGCAGTGAAAACAGTCGAGAGATAAAAAATGGCTGTGGAGCCTCGGGGGGGGGGGGGGGAGCTTTAACCAATGCTGCTCATGGCAACCGCAAATCGGGCAGAGGCGTTTGCATCTGAGGGCACTCGGTGCCGATTGCCTCGCAGACTGGCAACAGCAGCATGGATGAGGGCAAAGCTGAGCTTACATCGGATGTAGGAGATTGCGGCAGAGTACGGCTCCTGCTTCTTGTCGGCGAGCATCGATGCCAGCCGAGCATAGAGTGCTGTCGCAGCTTTGCCATACCCTCCCCTGCAGGACAAGACAACTGGTGAGAAGGAGGCGTGCTCGACGTTGGTGATCCGTTCCTCATGGCAACGACGCTTCTCCTGCTCATGTTGCTTATACACAGCGGGAAAGGCAAACTTGGCGTTGGTGGGGGCATGGGGGGTTGAAAACCCGGACATCAAAATACGAACGCTCGTACAGACCTCCCCAGACTCCACTGGCACCGATGTCCAGGCGGGCTTTGTCTTCAGTTGAAGCCGACCGTAGCGTCATCCTCTCACCTGTCCGCGGCTCTAGCAGCGGTTCCACCACAACTTGGTGCGCAACTTCCTTCATGATGGATGCTGTGAGGTCGCGTACCTCGTTGTGGCGGAGGCTAGGGTAGCCGCCGGTTGAGCAGGAGAGAGCATGGGCCACGGTGAATGATTTATCACAGCTGCAAGCAGAGGGCAACCGCTTCAGAGGCCAGCCATATCGCAATGAAACCGCATCGTGAAATGCGCCCTTGGATAGCATGAAGCCAAACATCTTCAGTGGTTTGCATGTCAGCCACGACGAGGCACCCTTCTCCGCCGCCAGCTCCCTGGACCGCTTTAAGTCCGAAGTAATGCTCTCTTCCACAGCGACTAGGGTCTCCTTCTCCCTTACGGAGTGGATCCTGCGCACCTTCGCCTTCTCTGCCTTCATGGTGTGGTGAACATCACCTAGGTCCGTGTTTTGCACGATGGACCACTCCACCAATGGTTGCGTGATGGTCCTGGAGTCATCAAACTGGCTGACGAGATCGCACGGGTTGATTAGACCCATGCCCCCTAGGCGGCAATGCAGAGCGAGGAGAGTGCGGGTGGTCTGATCAGGAGCGGGGTGTCCTGTGAGCGCCGGGATAAACTCGCCGTGGATAATCTCCTCCAGTGGCTGGAAATTCTCCGTCACTTCTGGCATGGTGCAAGCGAGGAACGTCCACTTGCCCTTCAGCCCTTGCGTGAACGCCGTGTACGCTGTTTGTGGTTGCGATTGGGCGCACCTGGTGAGGACTTGCAGTTCCTTCACCCATACCGTGACCTTCGCAGCAACAAACTGTTTGCAGAAAGCACCAGTGCCCAGTCCCGCACCCAGGTGACGGCAACCGTCTTGCACGATTGCGATATTAGTCCCATGGAACCCTTCCTCCGCGGTTTTGGCAAACTGTGGTTTCACCAGGTGAGTGGACTTGGAACCATTGATGAAGTATCCGAACTTGTGGCCCTCCTCCTCGAGCGTGTTCCACCATACACGCAGCGCACGCATACGGCCTGCTGCTGTGGAATCATCCGCAAACCAGATGTGCTGTGCCGCTGAGCTGCTCGCTGCCTTCTGCATGAGTGGAAGGAGCCCAATGGCATACATAGGCATTGCCATCGGCTCTCCCTGGGTGGTGCCCTCCTCAGAAAGAAGACACTCCCCATCGACGAACAGCCGTGCGGGATGCCGGTAGGTATTGGTGACGTCACTTGCGATGGCCGGACAGAGGTGACCGATGTTGTGCAAGCACACACTGCGGTTCAGCCTGTTGAACACATGGCTCGCGTCTGCTAGGAGGACTGCTTCGGTCTCTTCCTCGTTCCATAGGTGCCCCATTGCGTGGATTGCTGCTTCCACACCACACTCTTCAGTGTCTGCTCTAGGATTGTAGGACAGCCGGGTACACGTGTACCTGGCGCAACCATTTCAACCGGGTCGGAGCCGGGTACACATGTACCTGGCGCTGTCTCACCAGCCGAGTCACATGCTTTAACTGGTTTGTTGGTTTATTTTAATTAATCCGGAGAATAAACGGGAACTAGGCCCAATGATATAAAGGCAAATGGATAAGCCGCATTTAGAAAAGAGAGGACAAGAATTAGAAAATTACGAAAGAAGAAGAAGTATCTGACACATACAAGCCATGAAAAAAAAAGGAAATTATCGTATCCGTTCCCGATGGGAACTCACGACGGCTGCTAACACCCGATAAACCCTAGCGGCAGATGCAGCTCCTAACAAGCCATGTAGTAAGTCCTTTCAAATTTCGAAAGTATAAAGTACCAACCGGGTCACAGGTGACCCGGTACTATATTTTCAACCGGGTCCAAGCGCCGCCCAACCGGGTGGATTACCCGGCTCACCCGGCGCTGGAGCAGACACTGCTCTTGGCCGTCACACAGCTGAAGCGACCCGACCGCCTGTTGGATCTGCTCTCCGATTATGGTGAGGATGGCTTTGCCTACTATCCTTCTGAGGACTTCACATATGCCGATTGGGCGCACCCCGGGCTTCTTATCCAGAGGCACCAAGCGGCATGCTGTGAATGACTCAAGGGAAATTGGGTTAATGATTCCGGTGGCGATGCGCTTGGCGCAGGCGGCGATGCTATCACATAGCTGGTCGGAGGAGGCTCTGAACAAGGTGCACAAGCGTTTCCAGCTGGTAGAGTCCATGGCGGATGGGCCCGCTGCTCCATTTGTCCTTAGCACCGATTGCCGAATGATGTCTCTGTTCAGAGCTTCGAAGAGCACCGGGTGCGGCAGGTCGGGGCAGGGGCCGATGATGAGGGCATCTGCATGCATGGGTTCCGCCGGCGGGTGCTTCTCTTTCAGCGTTTGCCTCACGGTTTTACCATCAGCGGAGGAGTCCAGATTTAGCAGCCCACCCGAGGGCGTTGCTGTCAGGGAC